GGGGTTGGGGTTGGGGCACCTCTCGGGCTGTGGGAAACAGCAGATCTGGAACTTGGCCTCCCACTTCCTGGGGGATGCTCTTAGCAGCAGATGGCCACTTCTCCCACTCGGACCTCTGGCTTACCTGCCAGAGCGCGGGAGGGGTTTGCAGGCATCCAAGACCAGTTTCACAAAGGCGCCCTTATTATTTCAGAGAGAAGGTCAGGTCCGTGACTGTTCTCAGTGGTGGGTTCTCAAGCCTATGCACACTGTCTGCTGTGAACTCCTCTTGACATCTTACTTTCCGTGTTCACTTATTGGCTTCTAATTCAGCTCTGCACAGTCAGGTGCCAGAGCCAGAGCCACATCTCGGCTGCTTCAGGTGCTCAGCAGATCAGGGTTGAACGGTTCATCTACTTTGGCTTTATGCTGATAGCCGTTGGCATTGTAATTCAAAGGTAGCAGATTCCGTAAGCCATAAAAATCCTTTAGGAACTGCTTCTGTTATTTAACTTGCCAAGAAAGAGTATTTTAAGATTCCTTGCTTGAGGCTGAGGGTGGCATTCCCCTGTGGAACACAGCCCTTGGCAAAGCACATGCCCCTTGGAAACCAGAGGAAAACCTCTGAGCTGAGCTGATTTCCCGACATGCTGGAACTGCTGTGACTGCACTGAAAACCAAGCAGGAGGTGGGAGTAGCTGGCTCTTTCCCCCCATCCGGTCCAGTAGGCACAACCCTCTGAGAGGCATTTATTTATAAATAAATAGCATAATTTATTCTACTTGTCTGAGGATGGAGGGATCCCTGTGTTCAGAGCTGCTTGGACAATATTCAAGTCAGCAGGATTTTATAGAGTTTGTATGCAGAATGTTCTCAGAGCACAAAAAGCAGGGGTCTTTTGGGTTTAAGTGCTCTTAGGAGCTTGATCTGTACTCAAGCTTCGTGTCCTGAAAGCTCTTTTCAGGGTTACTCTTAGAACAACTATTCTTTTCCCTGGATAAAATGGTTTGAATTTCATATGATGGTGTGCAACTTCTAAGAGGAAAACACAAGACCTACTGTATGTGGTTTAAATGTCATTTTTTTACTTCCCAGCATCTTCCATCTCTTGTTTAGGCATTCATGCTTCAACATGCACTTGCTCCAGAGTAAATCAATGCTGTTCTTCCTATTAAGTGACCCAGACCAATCATCCTGAACCTTGGAAATAAATAGTTTACATCTATTTTAAAATTTAGTAAATAATAATTTCAAAATTATTTTGATTGCATCTTTATCTTTTTAATCTTTTATCACACAGAAAGACCATGTTACCCAAAAAGCACATCTGAGCTGCCCACAACTATGTCACTAGGCTATGGCTGACAAATCAGGAGCATAGCCAGTAAAACTCATCAGTGCTTAGGCAGCCCTTCCATCATCTAGACTACACAATTCTAGAATTTCCACTGCATCTGCTTTTTTTTTTTTTTGCTTCAGAGACAGGGAAAAGAATTAAATTAGCACTGCTATCTCCCAGTTCTGTAATGACTCTTGGAGTTTTTGAGACATATGCCTTGATCAAGAGCAGGGGCGTAATGGGATCACATTTAGTTTTGGAGTAAAGCTGGAAGTTGTTCACATTCCTTATACAGGCCTCACTAGCTCAGGAGAAAAGTGCAAACTGGTAAGATGAAAACGGGGTGACCAACATCCAACTCATTCCTCTTCTTTTTCATGACTGTGGTGTATGACTTCAATGCAATGGCCTCTCCTTCTTGAAAGGCTCCGTAGATCAAGGTTTATATGCACTTATTCCAAAATGCTTTTTCAAACTACTTCCTAGTTATAGCTGCCACTCTTTTTTCTCTCACTCACAACAGCTGCTATCCAGATGTTTGTTCCTGTTGCATCCACAAGAGTTGTTCACGTTTCAGATGGAGTCAGGGACAAAACTAAGTTTAACAAGGCAGAGGTGAAGGATGAAACCAACCTAAGCAATCCTGCTATGATGCTTTTTCAGTGTTGATGAAAATTTGCAAATGAAAGGCACCAACTGATGCAAGAGGGTGGGATGCAAAGTATAGACTTCCAACCCTTTGAGTCCTTCCAGCTTTGGGGCTGGAAGGCTTGTGCTCCCCTCTGCTGCACTCCCAGGCAGTGCCATGTGGCCGGGAAGGGGCAGTCACGGGGGTATCCTGAGGCCTCTCTAGGCAGGGCTCCCAGGGGTACAGAGGCGCTACCCCAGGGGATCCCGGTCGTGCCCAGGGTGGGCTCTCTGGGGCCAAGAAATGATCACCCAGACATTTGTCATGAGTTTAGGGAAAGAGGAGGCTTAGGGAAGGCCGAACTTTGCAAATAGTATCTGCCTGAGAAGAACTCATTTTAATTGTTGGTGCTGCGGGTCTGTGAGCAGAGGGTGTGGGTGAGCGGCGTGAAGCCAAGATGGCGGCTGAGCATGAGGGCTGCAGGCCAGGGGCCAGTGCTGGGCCTGCTCCTCTGCCTTCTCGCCAGCGGCCTGAATGATGGGGCCCGGGGCACCTTCAGCAACTTTGCTGAGGATCCCACGTGGGCAGGAGCTGCAGAGACACCCATGGGGATGCAGCCAAGAAAGGGAAGATGAAAGGAAAAAGGCAAAGGCAAAGGGGAAAGGGAAAGGGGAAAGGGACATGGGGAGGCTCTCCAGGCTGGCACAGCCCTGGCACAGCCGCCCGACAACAGGCGCCTTCCTGCGCAGCCTGTGGGAGAAGCGGCCCCAGCCGGGCTGGGCCTCGTATTTAGGGGGCCTCCTCTGAAGAAGCCCAGAGCTGTTCCTGCCCCTCCCTGCAGGGGTTTCCCCAGGAGTGCCAACTTCCCACCCTGTCACCTCCTCGCACGTGCCCCTGGGCTGTGCCAGCCTGGAGACTGCAGGCAGGCTGTGCTTCGGGGCTGGCATGATTGTGCTCCCATCTGCTGCACTCCCAGGTTCCCTTTGGCCTGGAAGGGGGGGTTGCAGAGATATCCTGGGGCTGCCGTGTGCAGGGGTCCCAGGTGTGCACTGGCATTATCCTAGGGGATCCCGGTGGTGCTCAGGGTGTGGGTCCTGGGGATGTCACCGGAGATTCTCCAGTGGGGACAGGGAGCAGAATCCTCCCATGCCCCTATGTCGTGTGCGGAGAGCATTGGAAGAGCGGGACAGAGCAAGCAGGAAGGTCCATTGCAGCCACAGAGGGTGTAGGAGGAAGAGCTGGGCTCAGGGGATGTGAGCTGCCTCTCCTTGATCCCATTTGAAGTCGTGCCTCCAGGGCCCCCCTGAAATGAAAGATGTGATGCTGACAGGGGCCTCGCCTGGTTTCCTCTGCCCGTTTACTCATTGCTGCAGGACTGGAGGAGCTGTTGGAGAGGGAAGGCTACAGCTGTGGGAACTTGGAGAGAGAGAGTGGGATATGGCTGAAGAACTAGTAGAGAGGGAGGAATGTAGATGTTGGAACTGGAGGAGAGGACCCATCCCTAACAGCTTCTGTGCCACTTTGCTCATCTCTACAGGCATGGAAAGGGAAAAAGAAGGGGAAAAGGAAAAAGGAAAGGGAAATGGAAAGGGAAAGGGGAGAATTTTCTGGGACTCTTTGAGCAGATCCTGAAGGGGCTGGTGTCTGCTTTCCTGAGGACCATGGTCAGGAAAGAGTCTGACATGGAGGTTTGGGGCAGACCTTCCCCTCTCCTCTTGTGGTCCTGCACACCCTCGCACTGTGGAGGGCTGTTTTCCTGGGGAAAGCTCTCCAGGCTGGGGAGGCAGCCCTGGCACAGCCACCTGCCAAAGGGCTTTCAGCGAATTCCCTCCCTCCTACGGCAAAGCATAACATGCACTGGTGCTGCAGCTCAATTGCTTGATGGTAGTGGCTCATCCCCCCATGAGAGCCGAGTGTCAGCCCGCACTGAAGCCAGGGAGGGATTGAGAGGCTGAATCTGTAATGGATCCTTGCCAGCCCATCTGTGTTTATAGGCTGTGATCTGCTGCTTCTTGATTTTATTCCAGCCCCTTGATTGAATTTCTCACATGTAAGCGAGCCCCACGAGTCTGTCCTGGCCATATATAATGGATGGCGGTGGAGGAGAAGAACACGAACATGGCTCAATGTCCGTAACAGATGCCCAGGCAGTGGTACAGCAGGTCCCTCTGCTGAAAATCCCCCACCCACTGCCAGAACCTGCTCTCAGTGCCAGCCAATGCAAAAGCCTTCCTCTGTCCCCAGCTTCAGCCATTCTCCATTGGCCCAGGAGCAGGACAAGGCTTGGAGCCAAGTCACCGAGCCACTATCTCCAGGAACACAGCCAGTTCCACCCACTGAGCCCYGGTGCTGCCACTCGATGCCCCATCAAATATTAATACAACGCTCAATGCCTCTGTGCCCTGCCCCAGCGCTGCAGCCCTGGCCCCTGCCCTCTCCAGGGCTGCCCTACCACTCTGGCCTCCCCTCACACCCTGTGTTGCTCATTCTTCCACACACAGGGACTTTGGGGGTGCAGCTGCACCCACTTTTGGGTGTTCCTTGAGCAGGGCAGGGCAGGCAGGACCAGACCCCCTAACCTCGGCAGGGGTCCCCAGCGGCCAGCTCAGCCCCCC